TGCCTCCCTCCTCCCAGCTGCTGCTGCTGCTTGCCTCCCCCCCTCCCGGCCGCCACTGCTGCTCGCCTCCCGCCTCCTCCCCCCCGCCCCCGCTGCAGCCTCTCTGCCTGGCGAAGAAGCCACAGGGGGCGATCTCTCTGCAAAATCAAGGCCTCTCTGTGTGTAACCTATATCCTACAGTTTGCAGGATATCCACTCGCATTCAGAGAGAGCCTTTGTGTATACAGATTGTAGACTTGTAAGGCCAAACCGAAAGTGACAGGGAACTCATGGCAGCCAAGAGTTTGCTGTTGCCGTTTTTAAGTGGTTTTTAAATGCCGTGAGGGCCCTGCGGCCTGGAGCTCTTCCCCTCCATGCCTTTTCAAGGGCCAAAACAGCTGTCCCTCCTTGGTCATGAGACCTCTATCACAGTAGGGTTGCCAGGTCCCCTCTGGCCACTGGTGGGGGACAGGGTGGGTAGGGTTGCCAGATCCAGGTTGGGAAACTCCTGGAGATCTGGGGGGTGGGGCCTGGGTAGGACAGGGACCTCAGTGGGGTACGAGGCCATAGGGTCCACCCTCCAAGGCACCCATTTTCTCCAGGGGAACTAATCTCTGTAGTCTGGAGATGAGCTGTAATTCCAGGCGATTAACCACTACCCCACACTGATTTTACTATTTGTAAGCCACGTGGAATATTTTGAGAATAGTCAATATGCTTCAGGAGAGTGCAGTTCCCTAAAGGGATAATAAAAAATAATAAAGTTTCATTCTGTAGTACTATATGAATACTTCTTTGTTTCCACCTAGTGGCCAAATCATATATCAGAGTTGCAAAATAGAACTGAGACAAAGTTTGAATCCAGTGGCACCTTTAAGATCAACAACGTTTAATTCTGGGTATCAGCTTGCATGTGCATTCTGATGACGTGTGCATGCACACAAAAGCTTATACCCAGAATTAAACGTTGTTGTTTTCTTAGAGGCGCCACCGGATTCAAACTTTATCCTATTGCTTCAGACCAATACAGTTACCCACCTGAAAATAGAACTGAGTATGGTCTTGGGGTCAGACTTTCTGCAGATGCCATGTTGAAGCCTCAGTGAACTCAGAATTATTTTTAAACAGCGGTCTTGGATTTCTTGGATTTCCTCCATATCTTCTATGTGAAAATTATTCTTTTCGGCTTTCTCACATTAACAGTGGATGCACCCCAGATTAAAGTGTATGCAAAATATCTTAAAACAGCAGTGGAGCTGCGGTGGCTCAAGTGGTTAAGATGCTGAACTGCAGGCTGTGGAAGGTCGGTAGTTCAGCAGTTCGAGACCCGAGTGTGCCGCATGACGGAGTGAGCTCCCGTCTCTAGTTCCAGCTCCTGCCAACCTAGCAGTTCGAAAGCAAGAAATTGCAAGTAGATAAATAGGTACCACTTCGGTGGGAAGGTAACAACGTTCCGTGCACCTCGGTGTTTAGTCATGCCGGCCACATGACCACGGAAACATCTTCGGACAGCGCCGGCTCTTCGGCTTTGAAACGGAGATGAGCACTGCAACCCTAGAGTCGGATTCGACTGGCTTTCGAGCAAGGGAACCTTTACCTTTACCTTTTAAAAATATCTTTAAACATCTATTTTAAATCATAATACTTTTTGCCGAGAGATCAAGATGGGTAGCCATGTTAGTCTGTCTATAGCAGTAGAAAAGAGCAAGTCCAGTAGCACCCTAAAGACTAACAAAATTTGTGGCAGGGGGTGAGCTTTTGTGAGTCACTGCTCGATTCTTCTGGTATCTGAAGAAGTGAGCGGTGATTCACGAAAGTGCACACCCTGCCACAAATTTCATTAGTCTTTAGGGTGCTACAGGAAAGTTGCTCTTTTCTAATACTTCTTGCAGTGGAAATACCAGGCATCCATTTTGGGCAGCATAAACAACAGATATTCCATGTTTAGTTCATTGCCTTACAATACATTCAAAAGGCAGCTGATATGACCAAGGATGAAAGAAAACGTACCCTTTCTGCCGATTGGGCCAATTTTACCCATCGCTCCCTGGTCGCCAGTATCTCCGACTACTCCTTTGCTTCCTGGAAAGTCAAGACAGAAGAATGTTTTGTTCATTCCGAGAAGACCATTTAGCTATATCGGTACTTTCTTAGGCTGTGTATCTGTGGTTTGTCAAAACACCCAACTCTGTACTATCTTGTATCCAGGGGTCTTGTTGTAGAAAAGAGCCGAGTCTACCGTCTGCCTTTGGTGACTTCATCTCTTGAGAATCCATCTGCACTCCACTCCCCATCTGGGGTTCTTCTGTTTGTTGGTCACACGAGAATGTGGCAAGGAAGCTGGTTTGGTAGATGATGCATACAGGGGCATCAATGTGTGTGGCAGAGCAGAGATTTGAACCCGGGATCCCTGGGGAGCAAGCGCAGATAGAACGGCATGAGACGGCTGCTGAGTTTGCATTTGCTCATTTCTGTTAAGTGCTGGTCAGAGAGTGGATACATCATCATGAGTCACGGGAAGAGCACTTTGTGTTGGACCGTCTATCAGTGCTTTCGCAACTTAACCTTGTGTATGTACTTTGAAGGACGTAAGCCCCACCGTACTGCATGGGACTTCTGATATTCCTATTGAAAGTGCCTTCTGAGACAGACCGCAGGCCTGTCAAGGTCACGCTTCTCTATTCTGATCGTAATCGGCTTTCGAATATCTTTCCCATCACCTCTTACCTGATCCTTTTAACTGGAGACGCTGGGGGACTGAACCTGGGACCTTCTGCATGCCAAGCAGAGGCTCTTCCTCTGAGCCACAGCAGCCCCTTCTTAGTATGTGCCCCACTTTCAGGGGGGCCTTTTTTGTGGTGGCTTCTGGTTTGTAGGATGCTCATCTGGTTCCCAATCTTCTCCTTGGATTAAAATGTTTGTATTTGACCAATACTCTTGATTTATTTGGTCATATGTGACTTCTCCATCTTCTGTCTTTGGTTTGGGGCAGCAAAGCATCTTTACAGCATCCACTTTGGTTTTAGTTGTTGCATTGGTTTTGAAGACAAAGAAGACGAGATTGGATTTATACCCTGCCCTTCACTACCCAAAGGAGTCTCAGAGCAGCTTACAACCTCCTTTCCCTTCCCCTCCCCACAACAAACACCCTGTGAGGTAGGTGGGGTTGAGAGAGCCCTTCCAAGAACTGCTCTTGAGAGAACATCTCTGAAAGAGCTTGTAACTGACCCAAGGTCACACCAGCAGCTGCATGTGGAGGAGTGGGGAATCAAACCCAGTTCTCCCAGATTAGAGTCCATGCTCCCAACCACTACACCAAAGTGGCTATTATGCTTTTTAAACTAATTGCAATTTAATCTTGGTTTTAAATCCATTATAGGATTACATTCTGCAGCTTGATTTTTGCCCTTTATTGTTGCCTGGCCTGAGAACTTGATGGTTGAAGGGTGGGACATAATATTCCCCTCCGTAAACAAACAAGAAAATAACCCCTTGCAGAGTTTATAAAATGAAATTGAACGTGATCACTTAAAGCAGGGAGAATGGTTCAGGAGGAGGAAGAAGAAGAGGAGGAGGAGGAGGAGATTGGATTTATACCCTGATCTTTACTACCTTAAGGAGTCTCAGAGCGACTCACAAATAAAAGAAGAAGAAAAGAGGAAGAAAAGAAGAAGAAGAAAAGAAGAAGAAGAAAAGAAGAGAAGAATAAAAGAAGAAGAAAAGAGGAAGAAAAGAAGAAGAAGAAAAGAAGAAGAAGAAAAGAAGAGAAGAATAAAAGAAGAAGAAAAGAGGAAGAAAAGAAGAAGAAGAAAAGAAGAAGAAGAAAAGAAGAGAAGAATAAAAGAAGAAGAAAAGAGGAAGAAAAGAAGAAGAAGAAAAGAAGAAGAAGAAAAGAAGAGAAGAATAAAAGAAGAAGAAAAGAGGAAGAAAAGAAGAAGAAGAAAAGAAGAAGAAGAAGAAGAAGCAGCTTTTTATGCTCCGATTGTCTCTATCTTATAGAGTCTCAAAGCAGTTTACAAATTGCCTTTGCTTCCTCTCCCCACAACAGACACCTTGTGAGGCAGGTGGGGCTGAGAGAGTGCTGAGAGAAACTGTGACTGGCCCAAGGTCCCCCAGCTGGCTTTGTGTGGAGGAGTGGGGAATCAAACCCAGTTCTTCCAATTAGAGTCTGCTGCTCTTAACCACTACACCACATTACCAGGTTGCAATACAGAGATCAGTTCCGCTGGAGAAAACGGCTGCTTTGGGAGAGTAGTCTCTCTGGCACTATACCATCTAGAGGCACCTCCTCTCCACCAACTCTACCCTTCCTAGGCCCCACCCCCAAATATCCAGGAATTTCCCAACCTGGAGGTGGCAACCTTACCTGCCATCCATATTTTTACTCTGTGTGCGCACAGAATAATAAGAAAACATGACTGCCACGCTTGGAGTGCGATGGAGAACGCTCTGGTAATGGAAGATGGCTCTCCAGGCTGGCAAGAACTTGAGTCGACCCCAGGAAGTTGCTGAGTAGACTTAGCATTTCCCCCCTAACTTGGAAGTCTGTCATTTCTTTAATAGAGGTTGGCGGGCAGGAATCCAACAGGCAAAGAGAAACCCACCTGTTGCAGCAGTGGAACAGGCTTCAGCTGCTGCATACCTGATTGTCATGCAAGCAAAGGAAGGAGTGCTGCTAAGAAGGAGAACGAATGGGGGAGGGGGACACTGCTTAAAAGCCCCACGCGCCCCACAAGTGTTTCCTTCCAGCACTCCAGACAGGGCTGTCCGCCTAGCTCAAGTTGTAAGGATTCAGGCTCTTCTTCCCAGTCTTGTGGTACACTTCACATCTGCTTTGACAGCCCAATCAAACAGATGGGATTCCCTTTGAAGAGGCACAGTCTTTGATTTGCTGCCACTGGGGGTACTCCGAAGGCTGGGAGCAGATGATTCTGGGGGCCCAGTTGTTGCAGAAGAATTTCAAAGCTTGTTTGTCTAACTGAAACTCCCAGCTGAGGTGCCCTGAGGCGCTCTATTCTTTGTTTTTCTTTTAAAAAAAGGCAGCTTCTTGGAGAATGATTCAGAAATAAGAATGTGGCAGAATTAATCCAAGACCTCCTTTATGGATCGATTAAGCGAAAACAAACAGGATGTGCAATCTGTTTATTTAAAAAAGGTTAGCACTCAGCGTTTCCTTTAAATGGGCTCATCGTTATGAAGGACAAGATTTATGTGAATATACAAAGATCGGGGAGGGGGGTGCTGCCGTGTATGTCCGGGTACTCACACAGAGACACACAGCCCACTCTTGTCAATGAGAGCCAAAACACTTAGGGCCAAGCTAGAAAAACAGCAGAGAAACCTGGGCCTACTTATTTATTTAATTCAATTTTTATCCCGCTTTCCCTGCAAGCGGGCTCAGGTGGGTTACAAGTCACGCAGATAACAGTATAATTTAGGTAATTAAATCATATCACTATTAAAGCAACAAAAACAGCAGTCAGAGTGGATTTTAGAGCACTTTTATCCCACCTTTGTCACCATAGACCATGACCTAAGGCAGTCTACAAAGTCAGCTGAAGCTAGCAAAGAGACATTAAAACCAAAAGTTTCACAAAATTTAAATTAATAACAGCATCCCCCCATTTAACATGTCCTTCTTTAATGACACCTTTTTGATATAGTTTCTGCCACCCAATTCTTTCTCTTTTTCTCCTCCTCCATTAAATTTCTGTCCACCTCCAGTGGTACTTCTTGTCTGCTTCTAACAATCCCCTGTCAAGAATTCTCACAATTCCTACACGAAGTCTTGCCTTCCCTCAGAACTCTTCAGGTATTTCGCTTGAGGGGGAACCCCTTGGTTTGCCTTTAGCTCTTACTTTAGGTTAAGTTTTGCTTCTGGTCTATTTGAAATCCGTTTTCTATGGTGCTCTCCTCCATTCTGTGGTTCAACTTGGATCCCCAAGTAAAAGAAAAAAAAAGATTCTGTGATGTGGCACTGAATTGCCTCACAGCTCTCTGAAAACAAGGGGTGAACTGATTTGCCCCCATTCCACTCCATTCTTTTGCAGGCGAGCTGTGCTTTTTGTTCTCTCCACCTGCCTTCCAGTTTCTGAGAGAATGACCAAAATTAGTTTCAGAACTGGTGCGTGTATCATGATTTAAACGAATGCACATCAGTAACCGTTCCTGTAAGGAGGCCATTGGAAGATGAATGTCATTGGGCCAATGTCGAGAAGGCTGGAAGCGTCAATCCAAGTGAAAGGATTTCCCTGGTAAATGGTAGCCCCATGTACACACACAGGCTGTGGTCACACTGGCAACTTGGCACGATATGGTGCTGCATCTAATTGAACCAGTTTAAAGTGTTGCGGGACGTATCAGCCACACAGCACACCTTGCTGCAGGTTACCTACAGAGACATCCCGTGGTAGAGCATTCACATTATTGCAGCGCCTCAGCCATGGAGTGCACTGCAAGAAAATTTCCAAAATTCATGTGCGCGCATGTGTGGCTGGTTGGCTGACAGTCACCCAGTGAGATCTCCAGCCGAGAGGGGACTTGAACTTGGGTCTCTGGCGCTCTAGTCTGACACTTAAACCCCTGCACCACAGCAGCAAGTGGTAAACCTTCCTAGTCATTCTGAAGGAAGAGGGAGATTTACACCCAAGAAAGCCCTTTTCAGCAGCATCCCTCCCTTGTCTTTGGTAACATCCAGCTTTGACCCTAATAGTTTTGTAACGCATGGGACAAATGCCCGTCCTCTTGCTTCAGGATCATTTAATGCTGCAAATCAGTCAGCCGGACTGAACAGTCCTAATTGTATCGGGTTTTCCATCTGTGCCGGGCTTCTCCAATAAATGCACGTGGCAGGTAATCTATTGTTTCCCTCATCTGCTTCAACCCCCTCCCTGCTTTGTGATATGAAGCAATGTCCGATCGGAGAGTTTTTTTTACTGTAGCTGTAGCAACAAATGCATTTAGCCATCAAATCTCATCGATCTAAAGCTTAAGGCATTTAGGCCGCTGTAAATGCACGGACAGAATTTGTGCAGCCATTATCGGTACATAAACAACACAGTACAAAGTATCTTTGAGGCAAAATTTTGCCCTGAAATCCATTGCTAGTCTGCATAACTGTGTTTTCAACTGGCCATAAACTTGGCTGAGCCTTTAAAGGGCCTTTTAATACATACGCTC